ATATGTATAAAAAGAGCCACCCAAAAGAGATGGATGGTTCCTATGCTCAGAGGAATATTATTTCAGAAGATACATTTATGACGTTAACATACAATTAGCTTAATCTAATTTTAAAAAGAGAGAGGGTTGATATAAGTGAAACTCAACACTTGCAAAAAATGATATTGTTACATTCTCTGGTTTTCTGAAGGAAATGTAAGTGCAAAACCTACATAGATTCTTTCCTGACACAAAGTTTAAATGAGTGCAGAATGTAGCATTCTGAAGTTCTCAGAATACCAAATTTCTGGTTTTTATAGTTTGAAAGATGGGCTTAAAATTGAAAATATATGAGTTCCCCGAGGCTCTAACACTGCCATTAATCTTTTTTTTCCTTCTGTCATACCAAACCTCATTTATAAAATAAAGCCATGATATGACATCACATTTACTATTTCCCTATCCTCTGAAAGAGATGACCAGTGAATTGAAACCAAAACAAAGAAAGATTAAATATTATATTCATGTGTCAGAAATATAAAACCTTACAGAGAAAATTCATAAGGTGTATAGGGGGATGTATAACAGACGAAAGACGGAAGAACTACATGTTTTGCAATAGAGAGGTGTGGGGACTTTGGCACATTAATAACTTATTTTTCTCTTCAGTATAATTAGTCAAAGCAGCAGAATACAATCAAATTAAGGAATTATGGACATTCATATTTTCATGTCTCAATATCTGTGGATATGATCATTTAGAGTAGTAGTTCTCAAGGTGTGGTACTTGGATCCTGAGGCCCCCAAGGCCCTTTCATGAGATCCATGAGACCAAATCTATTTTCATAATAATACTAAGATGTTGTTTGCCTTTTGTACTCTTATTCTCAAGTAACTGAACAATAAATGTCAGAAATTAACTCAATTTCTTCTTAATATTTCTACTGTACTCTTATTAGCAATCTTCAGTTATATCTGCTATAATCTCTATAACCTCATTATCTTCTAATAAATTGTTAATTGAAACTCCCAAATCATGCATGGGTAAAAGATCCATTCAAAGTGCAAGATAGACCAATAGATTTTAATTCAATGGAGTATAGTTATTTGAAAAGACTGTTAAAATACTCCTCCCTTTTTCAACTAGTTATCTGTGTGAGGCCAGATTTTCTTTATATACTTCAACCAAAACAACAGATTGCAACAGATTGAATGCAGAAACAGATATGAGGGTCCAGCTGTCTTCTATTAAGACAGACATTAAAGAGATTTGCAAAATTGTAAAACAATACCACACTTCCCACTAATTTTGTTGATTTTGGAAAATACCATTCTTTTCATTAAAAATATGTAATTTATGTTAACATATAATGTGTTTATTACCATTACTTTTAAATGAATGAATTAATAAATATTTTAAACATTTCTCAGTTTTAATTTCTAATTTAGTAAATATTGATGGCTGTAATCCTCATAAACAAAAACTCCTCAGGGTCCTCAATAATTTTTTAAAATGTCCAAGAGTCTTGAGGCCAACATGTTTAAGAACTGGTGATTTAGTGTATGTCGCAATAGGTAGAGCCATTTCTTATAAACAAGGTTTACTGATGATTCATTTATGTGTTTCCAGTGACCCAGTCAGTGTTCCTCAGAATGTTGATATGCATATTATGCTCCTGTTTAGAACTACAGCAAGTTATAATTTCTTCCATTACAGTTTCTACAAGAATGTTAATGTGTTCACCTTTTGATTCTTAATTGCCCTTTTTTAGCTACAGTTTGTCAATTAGCAGCCAAGTTCAGACTGGAAAGAATGCTCAAGCATACTTATAGAAAACAAGCCCATCAACTACCATTGGTTGTTACAATTAAATGGAATTTTTGTGTTTAGTAATAATAACCTTTCAATACCAGTTGCTAGAGAAAACTACTACCTTCAGCTTCTTCATCTAGGCTTCCCAAAATCATTTTGGTTGCTATCACTGGAAGTAAGATTATTAATTTTAAAGGATGTGGTCCACTTAGCTCTTATGACCAAGTGCATGGAGGCACATTTGCACAGCTGTATCAAAGCACACACTAAGGAGACGTGACAAAAGAAAAGGGAAAGTTACACTATAATCAATGAAGTACTCCTTCACACTTGCAGAAAAAAATTAGATTGACTCAAGACTGCAGACTTCAATGCATTTTCCTAGAAATCAATGTGGTAGAGTTGAATAGCCCTTATGTATGAAACCTATAAATATAAGATTGTTCCATTAACCTTTAAACCGCAGAAGAACCTTTGGGATTGATTTCAGTGAAACCTAATTTCAGGTAAGCATTTGAAATACATTTGACTTCAGACAAGTCAGATATTCTAAAACTGACAGTTCTTATCTCCTATTTCAGTTTGATTCAATCTTCCATTTTCTAATTTATTTCTTTGTTTTATTGCTTATTTAAGCGTGCACATTTTTTTCTCCTAAGGATTCTCTTTGTTCATTTTGAGCAATTTCAACCAACCCCACCCCCTTAGCTTGTCATCATAAAGCCCTACCAACAATTCTGCTCCTCCCAAACAAATTCCCTTTTGCTTTGCTCTTAGGGATCCTGAAATATTTGTTATTCCCAGAACCTGAAACTTAAGACAAATTGCTGAACTCAACAACTCTTTGCCTTGCCAGTTTGGGAAGGATCCAGATTCATCTCCCCCCCCCCCCCACCCATCACTTAGCATACCAAACCTCCTGCTTAAACAAACTCAGCAGGAAAAAAAAAGAGCATTTAACTCAATACACACATGCCCTGGCATAGCTTCAGGCAACATAAATATAAAAGATATTTCAAGGTATGTAGTTACTGGGTTAAAATGTTTAGGGCTTTCACAAGAACCTGAAGACATGCCATTGTGCTTGGGGACCTGGATATGTGACATAGCCTATGAAATGGTTATGATGATTTCTCTGTTGTTTGTTGAGGGTTTTTTTTTTAACTGCAGTTACCAATTATGTAACTGCTTTGGGTTGTTATAGGTTATTTTAGGCTGTATTTACCTTTACCCTTTTTTTAATCTGCCCAGAGTGATGAAGTGAGGTGGGTGGACCATATAAATTAAAAAGAAAGAAAGAAATGAGTAGAGTTTTCTGCTGCCTACTTTAAAAGAACCAACTTAGGGAATCTGCAAGAATTGCAGCTTTTACAGGATAGCCAAGTTCAACACCACAGGGATACTTAATCAATCAATAACAAAAATAGTATTATACACTTCGCCTGTATCTACCAAATGAAGTCCCTCTTATATTTACAAATCTAGGCTTTCTTATATAAATGCACAACATCTGTAGACATATCAAAGAATCTTTAGGCCACCCAACAGTACTGGTAAGCATGAAGTAACAATTGTTTTTGCATCAAGTTTGGGTTTAAATGCGATTCGGTGATTACTTAGGAATTACTGTAGTCTCCAATCATGTCAATCGCAACTTCTTATATCTGTAGCACAGCTGATCAATGTATTAACTCTAAATATTCTGAGAATCAATCTCTCCAATTTAATAAAGAATCCAATTCTTTCTTTCATCTTGTCCTCTTACACTCTATCCATTTCTTCTTGTCCTGCCTTCAGGTGCTTTGGGAAATAAATTGACACCCCCCCTTCTTTCTAGCAGCCCCCTAGATATTGGAACGCTACTATCATGTCACCCCTAGTCTTCTTCCAAAAGCTTGATATAAGAGTTTAAAAATATTAACGTGGGAATCCTGCTATATATATATAATTTTGAAAATGTTATTTTATATCATCTTTTCCTGTAAATTAACTGGGATTTTAACATTAACATTTTAACATGAACTTGAAAGAAATTTTTGAAACATTTATATCTACAAATAAAGATAATATAATTATTCTCCTATATTTAAAAGGATTTGAACACCAAGTAAAGGTCCGGTTGTTACAGCTTTCCATAGATACATTAGAGCCTTGTATATGATAATGACTCTGTTTAACTGAATAATTTGCAATTTACCAAACTCTTACCCAAAGCAGTTGATAAAGACTTTTCCTTCAAGTCTTCATCACAGTCATTACCAGTATTAATCACTGAAAGAGCTATATTTAAAAATATTGATTTCTTTCTTTGATTAATCCAAGTATAAAAATAGAAAAATCCTGGTGCATTAAATCAAAGCATATTCTTTGTTTTGAACATTTTCATAGTAGAAATACTACTGATATTACTTTCTTGTTGTTTCAGTTAGGAGGACAATAAATGAATGGATTTTAATAGGCCCACACTAGTTAATGGATACAGTATAATTATTCAAAAAGTGAATCACCATTTTTAAAGGATTGTGTCTTTCTTTTCCCAGTACAAATTTTGAAGACATATTCATCAAAGTTATTAGACCTTGAGTTGTGTGTGTGTGTGTGTGAGAGAGAGAGAGAGCTTTGGAGGGAGGAAGAGAAACACTGAAGAACTGTGCCTCCCACTCCCAACCCTTTCAGCTGGCTCAGAAGGACACTACTCTTTATGAATCATCAGGCGAATACAGCCAATGTAGTATAGTTATATTTCACAACTGAGAAGAGGCAGAAATATAAATGCATTCCTATCAGCAACTCCTCTACACAACATATTAGTCTGTCAGGAAGAAAACCAGACCAGCCTGGAACTTCCTACTTTGCCTATTCACAATAATCTATATTGTACTTGACTAAGAATTCCATAAACTTCCTGTTCATTGCCAAGGAATAGGTGCTGTAAAGAGGCTACCTTGTCCCTTCTGAGCTGCAATATATATATATATAGGTTACAGCCCCTTGATGGCTCACCATTACACTGACTCATTTTCTGGAAACAGCCACCTTTCCTAGGTCTTATATAGCAGTTTAATATGTACTCATTAAGGTGACTTCAGGATATAAATCAGATCCTTTACAGTCAGAAGAACAGGCCAGATTTATTTCCAATCATTTGGCATCCCTAAACAAAGTTTGAAGGCCAGGTTATAATTTATATTTGCTTCCTTTCTTTCAGGTTGATTGAAAATGGCACTGCCTTGCTAGAATGCCAGCATACAAACAAGAAATAAAACAATTTGTGCATAATACTTTAATACTCTGAAGAAAATGTGGAGTTCAAGATAAGTTTTGCCCTTGATCTTTCATGCAAGTTATAAATAGTGATTATTATTAACAATAAACATCTTTTCATTTGAAAAAACTTACATTCCATGCATAGTAATTTTAATAGGCTGATTGTTAAAATAGAATATATAATAGAATAATAACTTTATTGTCACTTTGAATGTACACTAATCGGCATACATTAAAATGAAATTTCATTGCATACAGCTCTCAAAGGGTTACCACCTCCAAAATACACTACATAAATATGACAAAAATAAATAAATACAGAATTATGCCTATACCCACAAATATTATATGGCACAGAGAAACAACACAATCTAGTTCGGATTATGTATACATGTGCATGGCGAGAAAAATGAATCTTTTGGCAAATTTCATGTTTCACTCTTCTTGACATCTTCATAATTCCAAAGCCTGCTCTGCTGCCAGTGCAGCTTGTTCAATAAAAGATAATGGTACCATGCTGTTTTTCACAGCTTTTGATTCAATCAATTTCAATATGACAAAATTCACTATGGATATGAGAAATTATCCCTTTGTGTCTGTAAATATTTAACTCCTGTGCAGAACTTGACTAATGCTCTTGTAGAGATCTGTACATTAAATTCCTTTCACAAAACATCGGACTTTTCTCTCAGATCATTAATAAACAGAAATGTAACTTGCTAGCAGCATTCTGAGTTAAACTTTAAATCTTAAGCCAATCTCAAATATATGAGTTGAGCCCTGACATTTGCTCACAGAAGTAGATTTATAGGGTGAGGCCTCCCCGCATGCTCATAAATCTCACCCTTTCATATATGAGCAAAGTTTGACAAATATGTACTCGGATAGTTGAGGCCCCAGATTTTGAGAAGCTGGGAGAATCACTTCTGCCACTGAATATTCTTGCCAGATCACTCACTGGTTCATAGCCCTGCCAAGCACTACAGATAACAGATGCTGATGAAGGACCAGAACCTGGAAACAAAAGTGAAAAATGTTACGCATTTGCACAAGTTTGCAATTTGAGAATAGAATTGACAATGCATGGATTATGTAGCCATGATCACATATGGAGGACTTTATTTGCTGCCTCAGATTTTCATCTGTAAAGAATAAAGCCTGCACAAAACTTACACAACTCTGGTTTCTTTATCTGGCTTCTGTGTTTTGCAACATTTTCAAAAATGTGGATGGTATCTGTTATGTCCCGAGCCTTGCAAACGGCTCGGGCGTTTGCAGGCAGTCCCGGGCAGGTGCAAAGCTGCCCGGGACCAGACAGGCTGTCGCCAGCGCCGTGCGCATGCGCGGGTGCTGGCGCGGGAAAAGTAACCCATTTACCCGGGAGTTGCCTATATAAGAGGCTGCGAGGCGTTTGGGCGAGGCTGAAGCCATCTTACTGTAAGCTGAACGCTGAATAAAAGAAACTGAGAACTCCAGCTGCTTCTCGTGTCTGTTTCCCGCCACGGACTCAACACTGGCGACGAAGGTGGGATGCCTTGCACTACCTGGAAAGGAAGAAGTGTAAGCTTACCCAAGGAGTCCTGAGCGGCGGAAGAGGAACGGCGTCGACTCGGCAGCTGCCCGCCAATCCGGTGCGCGCATTCGGGGGTAGGCTGGCTGATAGACCCGTCTCCTGAAGATCCGAAGATGGCGAAAATCGGAAGGCTTTCGGAATTCGACGTCTCACATCCAGAGCGGTGGGAGTCCTACGTATCCAGAATGGAGAACTACTTCAAGGCAAACCAAGTGAGGGAAGATAGCTTGAAGGCTGCCACCCTGCTTTGCGTTTGCGGCCAAGACGCCTTCGAAATTGCAGAAAACCTTGCAGCACCTGATCCAGTAGAGTCTGTAAGCTACGCAGACCTGAAGAAGCTGCTGAAGGAGCACTTCCACCCCAAGGTGTCCGTTATCTCATGGCGCCACACCTTCGAACAGAGGGATCAACGGTCCGGTGAGTCAGCCAAGGAATACATCGCCGCGTTACGGAAGGCCGCCAAGCCCTGCGAGTTCAAGGACCTCGAGGAACGACTGAGGGACCGATTCGTGTGCGGGTTAAGGCATCGAGAGTTACAACAGAGACTTTTCGCTAAGGAAGAATTATCCTTCCAAGACGCCTTAAGGGAAGTCACCGCAGAAGAAGCAGCAGGCGGCGCCGTCAAGAACATGCGGCCGATCAGAAGCAGTGCAGAGGGTGCGTCCGTGCACCAGGAAGACGTCCGACGAAACTCCGAGGAGGATCCGGACGAGGAAGTCGACCGTCTACACCCCGCGAAGGAAGAGAACCAGAAGGGAAGCTCTTCGGCTCCGCTCAAGTGCATCGGCTGTGGAGGTCGCCACAGGAGAACCGACTGCAAGTTCCGCTCCGCTACCTGCCGGGCATGCGGCAAACAAGGGCACATTGCAGCTGTGTGTCTGGGCCGACGAAAGGCACAACCCCAAGAAGAACGCCTGAAGGGTACCAGATTCCCCAGCCAGAATAGGGTAGGTTTTTGCGCTTCGCGAAGAAGCATCTGTAGGACAGGCACACACAAGCCCATGAAGAAAAAGCTGTCACTCAACGTGAAGCTACAAGGGGTTCCATTATCTATGGAACTAGACACAGGGTCTGCCCTTTCCATCATTTCATTGCATACATTTAGGAAGATTTGTTCCAGTAGTGGGACTAAGGCCAAGTTAAGGCCTTCTGATATTGTATTAACAGATTTTCAGAACTCAAGAGTGTGTGTTAAGGGGGAGGCCACCCTTAACGTGCAATACAAGAGTTTTGAAGGTCCACTAGACTTATTAGTAGTAGGGGGTGAACGAACGAGTCTCATAGGACTCGATTGGTTTGAGGCCCTGGGGATACACGTCACAGGACTCAACAGCTTACAAACACTCGACCTACAGGAAGTCTGCAAAGAATTTGCAGATGTTTTCAGCCCCCAGCTGGGCACATTCAAAGGACCACCTGTGTCCTTAAAGCTAGACCCCACTGTCACTCCCATTAGGATTAAAGCAAGAAGGGTCCCTTTTGCTTTAAAAAGTAAGATTGACACTGAATTAGACAAACTAATCCAACAGGGAATCCTAGAACCTGTTGATTCCAGCCCGTGGGAGACCCCCATTGTCACGCCTCTAAAGGCAAATGGGGACATTCGCATTTGTGCTGATTACAAATGCACACTCAATAAGGCATTGCAGCAACATGCCTATCCTGTTCCTGTGGTCAGTCACATCCTGGCCTCTCTCAAGGGGGGGCGTGTTTTTGCAAAGCTTGACCTAGCTCAAGCATATCAACAGCTGCCTGTTGATGATGATGCTGCTATAGCTCAGACCATTGTGACCCACAGGGGAGCCTTTAAGGTAAAAAGGCTACAGTTTGGAGTGAATGTCGCTCCTGGGATTTTCCAAAGCGTAATGGAAAACACACTACGAGGTATACCAGGGGTCTGCCCCTACTTTGACGATGTCTTGATTGCAGGAGACTCCACACACATTCTAGCTGAAAGGCTTAGGGCTGTCCTGTTAAGATTCAGGAAATCAGGCCTCAAGCTCAGAAAAGACAAATGCAAGATTGGGGTGCCTTCTACTGAATTTCTGGGATTCAAAATTGATGCTGCTGGGATTCATCCTGCTGAATCCAAACTAACTGCTATTTTAGAAGCACCCAGGCCAAAGTCTAAGGCCGAACTTCAGGCCTTCTTAGGCCTCCTGAATTTCTACAATTCTTTTCTTCCACATAAAGCTAGTGTAGCTGAGCCTCTTCACAGGCTACTAGACAAACAAGCTGTGTGGCTGTGGTCACAAGCACATGAGGCTTGCTTTAAAGAAGTCAAGGCCTTGCTCACTTCTAACAGTGTTCTTGCACATTTCAACGAGTCTCTTCCTGTGTGCATCGCTTGTGATGCGTCCCCCTACGGGGTTGGAGCTGTCCTGAGTCACCTCAGGTCTGATGGAACTCAGGTTCCTATTGCATACTACTCCAGAACACTGTCTTCTGCCGAGCGCAACTACGCTCAGATAGACAGGGAGGCTCTGGCTGTTGTTGCTGGAATTAAAAAATTCCACGATTTTCTATATGGCAGGCATTTCACGGTCTTCACTGACCATAAGCCTCTGCTGGGACTGTTTACCACACGTAAGCAGACTCCCCACATCATTTCCCCTAGAATGCTTAGGTGGTCTATTTTTTTGTCTGCATATGATTTTTCATTACTCCACAAGCCTTGGAAAGAAATGGGCCATGCTGATGGCCTCAGTAGGTTGCCTCTGCCAGTAGTAGAAGCTGACCCGCGCCAGCTGTCAACATTCTATCAATCCAAGCCTTGCCCGAGCTCCCTCTTAGTGCCAGGGATGTTACCGCTGAAACAGGTACAGATCACACACTTTCACGTGTCCCCTCCTGGGTCCTGTCCGGGTGGCCTGAGCACTGCCCTAGTCCTGAGTTTCAGAGTTTCTGGTCTAAAAGGAACGAACTGTCCCTTTCTCAGGGTTGTCTGCTTTGGGGAAACAGAGTTGTCATTCCCACCTCAATGAGGACTAGGGTCTTAGAATCCCTCCACGAGGGTCATCCTGGCATTGTTCGTATGAAGGCTCTTGCACGAAGCCACTTGTGGTGGCCTGGTTTAGATAAAGGTATTGAGGCTAAGGTACACGCATGCCACCTGTGCCAACGATCTCGCCCAGAGATGCCCCAAGCTCCTGTGCATAGATGGGAGGAAACACAGTCCCCATGGTCTAGGGTGCACATTGACTACGCTGGGCCCTTTCAGGGCCAGTTCTTCTTGGTCCTTGTTGACAGCCATTCAAAATGGCTTGAGGTTTGCCTGTCTCATCCACCACCACTGCAAAGACTATTCAGGTACTGAGGGGGATTTTTGCTGCACACGGGCTGCCAGATGTCATTGTGTCCGACAACGGCCCTCAATTCACCTCCTCCGAATTCCAAGCTTTCTTACAGGCAAACCTGATTCGTCATGCCACGTCTGCGCCTTTTCACCCGTCCACCAACGGTATGGCTGAACGCATGGTGCGCATCGCAAAGGACGCCTTGAAGAGACTCACCTACGGGGACTGGCATCACAGGTTGGCTGACTTTCTCCTTTC